GGGGGGTTTACGTGACACCTGGCGCAGGTTGAAAGGATCTGGGGCCAGTTACTGGCAATATTAAACTGCAGGGTGTGTTTGTGAGGGTCTTCACCTGCCGGGCACTACCAAACACACACACATAAACACAGGCATGTGCATGCATCTGTGATGAGTGCCCCAACACAGATTTGGAAACTGCAGCAAATGGTTAAGAGAAATAACAACCAAAAAAAAAAAAAAAAAAAAAAAAAAAAGAGAGAGAGAGAGAAATAACCACCACAGGCAACGTTCAGTGAACTCCGATCATATGTGGGGACTTATTCACACAGCTCATGTGAAGATCAAATCAGAGAGTAAGAGTGTATGCCAATCTTGCCACCATCGTAAGGCGACATGAAAAGTATGCCCACAAGATGAGGTGGCTGCCCTGCTGTTGGGAAACATGCGACAGGCACCCCCTGGCTCACACAGAAATTAAACCGTGAGTCTTCCTATAATGTACCCCAGGATTTATCCTTGAGGTCTGTTTCCCTAAATTCAATTACTGCATAATTACTGAGTCCCCTGAAACATTCACAGATGGATCAGTGGAGTGCGAGGCGGCAGGACCCCAGAGCAGTTGAGCTGACTGTCCACTGGTGGCTCCTGGCAGGAAGATGGGAACTTCCCTGTGACTGTGGGGAGCCAAGTTGCTGAATGAGGGACTCCTGGGGCAATGCTGGGTCCTAGGCTTGTGGATTACAGTAGTGGCTTGCAGCACAGGAGGCAGAGCCACTGTCTCAGACCTCCCTCGGCTACACACACACATACTCTCTCTTTCACAGACATACACGAGGTATCAGATTCCAAGGTCTCCACTGAAGAACTAACTGCATGTGCCGTGGGAGTAGCCAGAAGCCTTCAGCATGCCTCCAACCTTCCAGAGGCCCAGGATGGTGCCTGGGGAGGATCAGAGAGCCACGCACACAAACACATGGCGTTGTGCACCTGACTGACAGTAAGCAGTGGGTGGAAGTCAGGGACAGTAGGCATACAGCAGACTGCTTGGTAGCCACACAGAACAGGGCTCCATAAAGGTTGGCCCAGCCTAAACAGACCTCAGAGCGCAGGAGTCTCTGAAGAGCCTTAGAACCCTGCAGACCAGCAGTGAGACTCCTGGAGAGGACAGCTGTGAATCTTGCCTTTTCCCCAGAAACTTGCTCTTCACCTGGAGCAGGTTAGCCACCAGCCCTTCATAATGTGGCTTGTAAAACAGAGACAGTAACAGGACCTACCTCCTAGAGAGGACAGAATTAAATGAGATAATCCCTCTAAGGTGCCTGGCATGGAATAGGCACCCAATTAATGTTAAACTGTTACCATTAACCAGGCAGGGAGGGAGGCGGTGAGGAGGAGGAAGGCTGGGGGAGGGGCGGATCTCTGCACTAGAGGTGGCAGGAAGCAGAGCCTTGTATCCAAGAATAACAGCCTTCAAGACGATTTCCTTCTCAGAGCCGCCACCTCCTCAGATGAGCAGCCAGCGTAACAGAGGATCATGTAATAGCTCATTTCCAAAAGTGTGACACTTCGGTTTTGTCCCAGCACAGGCCTGCTCATCTGTACTTTGTCCTCTCCCTTGTCCCAATGTCATTCTTGGCCTGCCAGGGTAAAATTGGAGAGGTCAAGTCTAAGGTCCTAAGGACATAAACAACCCACCCAGTGGCCACTGAGGCCCAAATGCCGAGGCTGCAGAGTGAGGAGGCAATCTAAGACAGGGATTCAGAGGTAAACATTCCTGTGTGCCATCCCTTGGTCAAGCTGAGGCTGCAGGCCAGAGCTGTTGGAGGACGTGTAGGTCTGACTTGGTATATTTAATGTTCTTTGGCAGAAAAAGTAACCTGTGTGTTTATCCAGGGGTTTTCCAGAAGTGCTGGAGGCTGTGTCCTGACCCAGTCCATCCTCCCTAGCTTGGCTTGGCTTTCAAGGTAACCAGGAAACACACAAGAAAGGTAAAGATCTGGGGATAAAGGGAGTGGACACAGCGACCAGATCTGCTGTCTTTCTTTTCTGACTTAGAATTTTGCTGTTGGGTGTGGGCAGGAAAGGGCAGAAGCCTCAATCCAGGACCCCAAAATGGGCCAAAAGACCAAGGGTCGTCAGCTGCTAATCTTTTCCTACTTCTGTGTTTCAGTGTCCCAGACCCAGAGCTCCCACCTCACCTAGTCCTCCTCTGTGTCACCCAGCAACCATTCTGTACTTCTTGCTAAGGCCATAATCATACAGGATTAGTGGTTCTCTGTTTTCTGTGCCTGTCTCTTTTGTTGGACTGAAGGTTCCTGTGGGCAGGGACTGACCTCACTAAAAGTTTCCAGGACACTGAACTAAATTTGAATTTCATCTCAATAATGCATTTTCTTTTCTTTTTTTTTTTTTTTTTGTTTAGTAGATGCAAGGCTCAAATATTTCTTGGAACATACATCTATTAAAAATTGTGCATCTGAAATTCAATTTTAACCAGGCACTTTAGGTTCAGTCTGCAACCCCAGACTCAAAGCACCCCAGATCTGTGAATTTCTATCATCTCCCTGGTGTCAACCAAGGATGGATAAGGCATGGAGGGGCTGAACTTGGCTCTTCTGAAAACCAGCTGGGAAGGGGACAAGCTGTGGTCTGGGGCTGGGCTGGGCTGGTGCTGATTTTGGAGGGAACATACAAGTGGTCCTCGATTTGTGTGGGGTCAGCTTCAGCCTCTATGCTGGAGGCTTAGCCTTACCAAAAAGGTTCTTATGGAGAAAACAACTTTCGGTTCTAGGATGCAGAGCCAAGATTCCGTTTTTCCCTTCTCAGCCTTGAATGTGCACTCAAAGATGGTTTATGATCCTTTGTTTGTGATATGCTGGGCAGAAGCTATAGGAACCCAGAAGAAGAGCTGGTGCTTTTGGACTCTACCTCAAAGGCGCCTCTATTTTGTGTCTCAGTCATGTCTTCCAAGGCCTGTGCCAAAGTCCCTGGGGATGAGTCCTGAGGTGGCTCTCTGTACCAGCCAGTTTGGTTCCAGAATCAGAACAGAACCATCCATGTGCCCTGGACAAGCTATCCAGCCAGGGGGACATCAGACTTGTCCCACAAGGAAGTTCTGTTCCTATGGGGACTGAATAGGACAAGATCTTCAGGTGGCCCCTGGCATGTTTTCAGATCTCAGCAAATGTCCCTCTTGGGACTCAGGGTGTCTTGATCATCAGATTCTGGCACCCCCATCCCACAGCTCCTGGGACCATGACCTCCTCCACATGGTCTTTCTTCTGACTTCAGGCTGTAGGTTCTGCCCAGGTCCATGCCCCAAAAGCCATGCTTCCAAGGCCCAGCCCTCAAGGTCTCAGGCCATCTGCAGGACATGCCTTTCTAGGAATGCTAGTGGACTCCCCTCCCCCTCTGCAGGGCCACACTCACACCTAAGTGGCCTGGTGTGCAGACCTGACCAGGGGCTTCCCTGTGCGTTCTGGACTTTTTGATTCTCCTCAACTAGAAAAACTGAGTGGAGGTACCTGCCTGGCATGGGCCTTTGTGTGCCAGCCACTGAAGGACGGGTCCAATTCTAATGCCAAGCAGGCGGCCTGCCAGCAGCCAGACAGCCTCCTCCACTCTGCCAGAGGCAGAGGACACTTTTACACCGAGGGGCTGGGTGTGCTGAACTCGCTCTGAAGGGAAGGCTAGGTGATGGGAGTGGAGGTAGGGACAATTCGCAATGCCAGGGTTAGAAACTCCTAAAGGCTTCTTAAAAGTGCTTCTTCCCTTCCCTTCCTTTCCCCTCTCCCGCAGGCCTCCCCTCCCCCACCCCAGCCGCTGGTGGCCTACAGCCAACACTGGCCACTCGGTGCGCGTCAGGCCCCCACCTCGCCTCCGGCCTTCCTCTGCATCTCCTCCTGCCTTCCTGACCCTACTCCTCCTGGTACCCCACCCTATCGGAACCAAGTCGGCCACTTCCGCCCTGGCGCCCCCCAGAGGAGGGCCTCCTAGCCCTAGGTCAGCAAAGGGGCGCTTTGCAGACCCGATGCAGCCTCGCGCGCGTCCCCCAGATCCCCAGCCCTGCTGGGTGACCCGGGCCAGGAGAAAAACCGCTGTGTCTGCAGAAAGCGGGTCACAGCCTCCTGGCTCAGGGAGTAGCACCCCTCACCCACTCGGGGCCTTTAACCCCTCCCTCGCCTGCTACACTAAGCGCCTGGGCCTTGCCACCACAAGGGAGGTCGGCAAACAGTGCCAGCTCGCCTGCGAGCTAAGGAGGCAGGAGTGGCAGGCCTTGTTCTCCGGCCTCCACCTTCACCCATGCGTCCCTCAGGAAGTCCCCCCACCTCGCCTCCACCGACCCGCGCTTGGTCGCAGCCAGCAGCCTGCAGCGCCTCTGGCCGTCCGGACAATTTCCGGGGAGAGCCTGGCAGGCAAAGCCTGGGCTGCTTCCTCGGAGGGGCGGGGCCGGGCGGGGCCGTTGCAGCCCGGGGGAAGGGGGTAACGCCTGAGAGAGCGGGGTTCCTCTCCGAGGAAGAGGGAGGTTCCCTACCTGTGGGAAATAGTAACATCGCACTGCCAGGGTCTGTGCCCCAGTGTGGCACCCCGTGTGAGGACAAAGGTCAGCAGCTGCCTGCTGCTCCGGCTTGGGGGGGTGGGGTGGGGTGGGAGACATCTCCAACCTCCTCTCTTGTCCTTACCCCCAAGTACTCCTCTGCTACTGGAGCCCTGTGGTTGCCAGCGTGGTGGGCACGGCAGGCCAGAAAGCCCAAGGTCCCGGGGTGGCTCGGTACGCCCCTCCCCCATAGGATTCACCCTTTCCAGTCCAGAGTCTTAACTCCCTCCCAGGGTGTCACCCTCGGGCCAGCACGGCTCCAGTCCGCTCAAAAAAGTCCTTTTCGAGTAGAATGCAGGGCACCCTGGGATTCCTCCCGGACACCAAGGCAGATGTGGGGTGGGAGAGAGGTCCCGGGTCAGGTCACCTTTCTCGACCCCCCCCCCCTCGCTCCCTCTGCGCTATTCTGGAACAGCAGAAGTGCACCTTCAACATCTCCATTTAATATTTACATTCAAGCAGGTAATAATTGGAAGCTTATAGTTTAGACATTTCTAGTAGCAGCAGGTTCTAGAGAGCTTGTTTAGCCTTTTAACAAACTTTTTTTTTTTGCACATAGAAACAACACATCCATGTGTACAGTATCAAAAAATATATACCAAGGTTACTGGTACTGCAGTTCCTGGAGGGGAGGAAATGAAAGAATCAACCGAAATACTGAAAGAAGGGGAAGAAAGGTCAACAGAAAATAGTTTGTTTGATATAGAATATAACGTAATCTAGCAGAAACTCCATAAATCTAGGTTTTTATATTTCAATATATAAATACCTACAAATAAATATATATATATCAGCCCGAATGGGGATGGTCGGGCCTTTTGAGCTCAAACAATACATTTCAATAACACCACGTACAAACGGGAGTAGAGTCAGCACTTGACAAGTTAGCACGGTTAAAATATAATACTATAACTCTGAGACCGCTGTGCGGCTGGCTGCCGGGGCTGCCGGGCCAATTCCGGAAGGGCAGTGGGGGTGGACCCCAGGCACCGAGTGGAAAGAGACAGGCCCTGGCGGGCACCTCCGCCGAGACTGGGTGGCCTCCTTGGCCAGAGCCTGGGCCACCACCCTGGGCTGTCTTGGCTCGCCCTGGGGCCACCACAGCTCCTGTGGGGGAGGGAGGAGTCCCCCAGGCTCCCGGGCTGCTCCCCACCCAAGGCCCTGGCGCGCAGGCTACACCATCACGTACTCCTTGAACGTGACGGTGAGGCAGTTTGCGGTGACGTCGGTGATAATTATATTTCCAAAGAAGGGCTTGAACTCGCTCAGCGGCTCTGTAGGCTCGTCCTGGGCCTCGGCTGGAGGCTTCTCTGCCGCTGTAACCGGCGCCAGCACCATGGCTGCTGTCGCAGGCACCTCCGGCTTCACCTGGAGGGAGCTGGGTGGCTCCCCGGCCTCACTGCGCGTCTTGACGCAGCGCAAGTCTATGGGCTCATCCAGGTCAGAGTCCAGTAGGATGACCTCAGGCTGAGGCAACGCAGCGGAAGGAACGGGTGGCAGGTCTGCTGCGGGGCGCTCCGCCGCGGGGCTGCCCCCTAGGCAGGTGGGCGTGCTGATGCTGCGCGCAGTCAGCCTCTTCTTGCAGGGCTCCCGCTCACCGTGTGTCTCCGAGAGGCAGCGCTTGCGCGCGTGGGAGAGGTTGAGGCCCGTGGTGTGGTGGTGGTGGTGATGGTGATGGTGGTGGTGGTGAGTGGGTGGGTGCGTGCTCCGAGCTGAGTCCCACGCCAGCAGGTCAGGCTTGGTGGTGAGCTGCAGTGGCTGCTCCGAGAATGCCTCCTTTGTTGGGGAGAGCTTTCGGGAGCTGGTGTCCTGGGGTTGGGGGTCCCCCAGGCCTGGTGCCTCCTCCTCCCTCCTCTTGCAGGGTGTTTCGGTCTTCTTCTCCTCGGAACTGCAACCGCTTGTAGTCTTTTTAAAAGTCCTGTCGGTTGGGGGGTGTCGCTCCTCGGGAGGGCGCTTCTTATGGCTGGGGGAGCGAGCTTCTCCATCCGCTGCCTCGCCCGACTTGATCTTCACCGCCTGCATGCCGTTCTCCATGTACTTGCTCATCACTATGACGATGCGGCCGTTCTTGTTCTTGTTCTTAACAATCTTCATCTTGCCCCCAATGCCATTGCCTGTCACCGCCTCTTTGGGGGCCGGTGTCATTCCGTTGGGGGGACCCTTCTCAGAGCCCTTGCCTGGAGCCCCTGCTGCTCCGGCCAGAGGCTTCACAGCCCCCAGGTATCCCTTGGCAGCTGTGCCATGGGCCCACTTGTCAGGCACGTGGCCCTTGGCGCCCAGGTCCGGGCAGGTGGGGCTCGGCGCCTCCTTGTGGCCGCCCTGGTACTGCAAGTCATACATCTTGGGGTCTGGCTGGTAGGGGTGGTGCTTCTTGCTGTTCAGCTGGTAGTAGTATTTGCCGCTCTTGCCTGGTGGTGGGGGCTTGCCTGCTCTCTCCTTGCTGTGCGGCTGGTACTGATGGTGCTTTTTGCTGTTGAGCTCATACTGGTGGCCCTGGCCCTTGCCCTGCGTGCCCAGCTCCAACTTGGAGCGATTATCAGCTGAGGAGTCCTGGAGCCCGGTCAGGACATTGGAGCGGCGGGCAAAGGTAGGTACCTGAGGGAGTGGGATGAGGAAGAAGGTCGGCCCCACCGAGCTCCAGAAGCACCAGCAGTCCCCATGGGGATCTGCAGCTGCTTCGTAGGGTATAGGGTTTGGGGGTCAGAGGAATTGGGAAAGGCTGGAGGGGGTCCCCAGGGCCGGCCACAAGTATTCACCTGCACCACCAGTGGCTTGGGCTTCGGCCCTCTCTTCCGATATCCCATCAGCTGCTCCTGCCGTTCCCTGAGGACAGAACAGAGGGCAACGCAGTCAGCGCGTTGTGGTCACCTCCCCAGTCATAGGTGAGGCCCCACCCTGATTTAAGGCAGCAGCCAGGCCAGCAGGATGTAGAGAGATGAAGAGGCAGAGGCAGCTGAGTGTCCTGTGCCACCCCCAGCTGCACCAGATCTCATTCACCTCTGTGAAGGGCTCCCCCCTTGGATGCATCCACCTCCTCACACCAGTCCACCTCTATGCCCAGGAGGCCTGCGCTCCAAGCCGGGTCAGGTTGAAGGGCGACCCCACTGTACCCCCTGGGGCTGGTGCCTCTGAGTGGAGTGGGCCCAGGGTCCAGGGAATAGGGGCAACCTGAGCCAACTCCCCATCAGAAGCAGGGGATGCTAAGGACCTCATTAAGATTCAGATAGAGCCACTGCTGCAGAAGAGGGCTGGTTTTCTTAAAGGCCAGCCACTGAACAGGGGGAGGGGTTGTCCCCTTGTTTACACAGTGGCAAATGAGCCAATTAGGGGCTGGAGGCCAGCCGCTATGGTCAGTCTGGCTAGGTTCTCAGCCACCTGGTAAACGGGCCCTGGCACCAGCACCGCCCTGGCTGAGCTGGTGGGCGGGGCGGGGGCGGCACCCAGAAGAACAGCCAGCTTGTTGGAATCTTGTTGGAGTAAGAACTGTACCTTCTTGATTTCCTAATTAATAAAGCCCATGAGTGGAGGTACCAGGTCACTACAGCCTCCAGGTCTCCACTTTCAGCCAAAGCATGACCTACCTAAGGGCTGACTGTCCCAGCACTGCTGAGTCCTCTGTAGGAGAGGGGAGTACCCATTTGGAGTGCCAAAACTGCACCCGTTCGCAGGCCAGGGATTCACTCTCTAGCAACCCTAGGCACCACCCCACCCCACTGCCCCTGCACTAACCCAGGAGAGTCTCGCCATGCCCTGGGGCCCGGGCAGGGGACTGACTCCAAAGTTGCGTGGCATTGCAACAGCCTGTGTTTTAATTCTTCAGGGACCCATTATGCAACATGGCATCAGCCGCTGACATGGTTACAGGGTGTTGAACTCCCAGGTGGTGCTGGTACAGGATCCCCGACCGGCGCCCCCCTGTGTCACAGGAGAGCAACTTCCCTGCCAGTGGTTACCTCCGAGGGTCTACTTTACTTTTAGCGCCAAACTTGCCACAGGAAATAATGCAAAATAAAAAGGGGATGAGGGAGGGAAGGCAGTGGGGTGGCAGAGCTCCCAGGGCTGCTACTGCTCCTCCCCCATATGCCCTGCCCCCTCTATCCTCTCCCAAACAGAACCACAGCCGCCACCAGTCAACCCAGTTGCAGCGTGACAAACGTCTGTACCCTAGAGAATGAATCCCCCTCCCCAAGAAGCCACCCTTCTATCACTGGGCAGCACCCACCTCACACCCTTGCGCCAAGCTCCCCCTGCCCTGATGGGGGCTCTGCCCCACGAAAGAGCCCGGGGGGGGGCATGAAGGGCACAGGACTTGAAACAGCAAGTATTCCCTGCCATCCCCAGCTCCCTAGAGGGGGCAAGGGTACAGGTTCAAGGCCTTGCCAACTCTTCTCCAGCCATCAACAGGTTAAATTCAGTTCCATGACGTCCTGGCGGTTTCACAATGCCAGCTCCTTTGGAGCTGCCCTGCTAGGTGCTAGTGCCAAGCGGCCAGTGGCTTCAGGAAAGCAACACCTAGGCACCAGGGGTGGGGCTCCACAGTTGTGGGGGGGATAAGTGGAACAGGCAAAGCCTTGAGCTCTCCGGGGCAGCTGCAGAGCCCCCAGACACTCTGTCCACACTTCCCCCCAAAACACAAGCCTTGCCTTCTAGAGCCCTTCCCTGCCCCCACTCCCAAGCTGCACTAACTGCCAAGGACACTGGTTAGAGGCCGAGGCTGCAGCCTTGGCTGTCCAGGCCCCACCGTGGGGGGAGGTTCCTACTGGTCCCGTTCCCTCTTTCCCCCTTTCCCACTGCTGTGGTGCCCCCTTTCCATTCCCATATACGGTCACAGAACGGATGGTGGCTGCAGGGGCGCACTCACCTGTTCTGGAAGGCGATCAGCAGCCTAGGATCCAGGATGTTCTCCTCTGGTTCCCACGTGTTATATCTTGCAAAGGAAAAGGGAGGGGGACATGGGTAAAAAAACACCGAGCTAGCTTTGCAGCCTCCGGGAGGGGAATGACATAAGGCCCTGTTCTGTCTTCATGAACCGAGAGCCATTTAGCTGTGGAGGTGGAGAGTAGATTTCTGCAGGCCTGACACAGTCCCTAATACACTGCCTCCCCCGAGTCAAAATAAACACACAAGGACAGGAAGAAAGGGGAGGGCTAAGGAAAATGAAACTAGCAGTTTATTTTGCAGTTGTCAAGAATTTTAAGCATGTTCCTGCGACATGTTCCAAAGCCACTTTGCTCATCAGGAGCCCTGCGTGCAAAGCAGCTGAAATGCAAAGTCGCAGTACCCCTCCTCCTCTCCCAGCCCGGAGTCTCGGCGAGGGCTACAGCCGTTCTGCATTTGACCCCTAATCCGATAACCGGCAGCCCAGCAGCAGCCCCCCCACCCTCCCGCCACCCAGGAGCCCGCTGTCACAGGCAAGCAACCCCCAAATACTCAGCAACACAAAAATATGTCTCTCTGTGTGTGAGTGTGTGTGTGCGTGTGCCTGCGCGTGTCTCCATCCGGTGCCTTCGCATTTCAAATTAAAGAAAAAAATTCCCTACCAAAAGCGCCGCAGTGACAGTTCCTAACATTTTCTGCCTCTTTTCGTCCCCTCTCTGCACCACTAGGAGGGAGAAGGCACACAATTGCATTTTGGTCGCTTTTTAATTTTTTTTTTTTTTTTGGTTTTGCAATATGGAGCCGTTCGGTGGAGGGAAGGGGGAAAGGAGCCATTTTCTGCTGCACATCAGTCAGTGCCTGCGCCCTCCCTCCCTCCGCCGGCCTCCCCGGCTCGGCCCCGCGTCTCTCTAGCTCCTCCGGCTCCTTTTAGTGCATAAATTAGTGATGGCATTTCCCGGAGAGCGGAGCACAACACAGGGCGCCGAGCTCGGGCTCGGCGGCTCGGCTTCCCAGTGCCTGCCACCGACTTCCCCACCCCCCCTCCTCCACCCCCCCTTCACCCCGCCTCCCGTCCGCTCCCCCACCACCCCACCAGCTCGGCGGGTCCGGCCACCCGGCGCCCCGCGCCGCGGCACCCGGCCGCCGCCCCCGCCGCCACTTACTTGGGAGACCAGCCTCTCCATTTCACCAGATACTCCACTCTGCCCTGGGGGGAAGAGACAGCACTCCATCAGCTTCCGCGGGATCCCCGGCTCCGGCCCGCAGCTTCCCCACCCCCTCCCCGCCTCTCGCGGGCTGCTCCGGCCGCAGCTCCCTCGCCGTCGCCCCTGCGCCACCCTACCTTGCGGATTCGCTTCTTCTCGATGCTCTCCACCGCGAAGACGTGCTCGCCAACAGCTGGTAGCTCCATGGCCGAGCCCGGGCGCGCCAGGGCGCGGGGGCCGGCACCGCTGCACACACCGTTGGCTCCCGCCGGTGCCCAGTCGCGAGCCGGGCGAGGCGCCCCGCCGCCCACCCCGCACAGCCCCGCACCGCCCCGCACCGCCCCTCCGGCCGCCGCTGCCCGCGCCCGCCCGGCTCCCGGCTCGCGCTCGCTCAGACAACTGAGCCCGGGCCGCGGCTGCACAAGAACTCATGCAAATCCCGGACGTCAGCGGGCGGGGCCTCGCAGGGCCAGCTCGGCGTCAGGGGGCGGGCCGCGGCGCGGATTGGCGCAGCCGGGCCTACCGGAGGCCCCGGGCCCTGGCAGCGGGGGAGGAGGCCCGGCGCGGGAGGGGGCCGGGCAGAGGCGGGGGCCCGGGAGGTACGGGGGAGGGATGGCGGGCCAGGAGAGGGAGCTGGGGAGGGAGCGGGGCCCGAGTGGGGAGGTGTGTCGGGCCTAGCCAGTTCGACGCCCGGGCCCCCCACCGCCCGCCGGCCTTTCCCAGTGTGCAGGGCCCGGGGACCCCTGCTGGGGGCCACAGAGGCTTTCGCGGCAGTTCGCGGTTGCTCGGAATTGCTTGGCAGGCGGCTCCAGAGGCTCTGGAAGCCGCCAGCAGGGGGCGGAATCGGAGAGGGGGCAACTGGCGCCCCCACCCTATAGGCCCTTTGCCCCGCCCCGCGAGGCTCTGGGCTTTTAGGCCAGCGGGGAAGGGCGCGGAAGAGGGTGGGGACGGAGACCAGCACAAGGTGTGAAGGAGTTGGTAGAGGCGAGGCAGGGGACGGGGAAAGGCCGGCCCCGGGCCACATCGACCTAGAGCCTCACCAGGAAAAGGCTCGGCTCCAAACTCACTGCCAGTCCTCAGTGGCTCCCGATTTATGCATGGCCGCGCGGGATGTCCGGTTTCCCGCGGGCCCAACGCCGAGCAGGACGTGAGGCGGGGAGGACAGAGCAGGGCTCTGGGGAATGTTCGAGTCTGCTTGGGGGCCTAGGTGTCTTCGTGGGGTCCTGGGAGGAACCTCCGAAGGGGGCAGAAAAGAAGCTGAGGCTGAGCAGTGGAAGAGCGGGCGGCGCGAACGGAAGGCGAATGGAGCGGCTGGAGAGCCCCAAGAGGCTCACATTCCTTAGGAATGCGCGTCCCCGGGACCCCAACAAGCAGCTCAGCCTCGGCCCTAGGCAGCGGCCGCAGGAGCCTCCTAGTGTGAAGTTTAGCACCTCCGGCGGCCGGCGAGACGGCGCATTCTGGCGTGCCGCTCCAGCGTCCGGCTGGGGGAGCTGCTGCGCCCCACGCGGCCTCCCGAGGGCGCCGGCGGCGACCCGCGAGCTCCACGGGGTCAAGGTGGGGGGACTTTGCGAGGGGCTAGACAGCCCAAATGGGAGGGGCGGGGGCACGTCTGGCCAGGGGTGCGTCCCGCCCCGGCCCAGGGCCCTTGAAGGACAAGGCAGCAGGAAGCTTGCGCAATCGCTTGGCTGAGCGTCCATAGAGAAAGAAAAAGCTCAAAAGCCGAGCAGGAGTGGAGCGAGCGAGGAGGGCGGGCAAAGAGCCATCCGGGTCTGCGCTCCTGCCTCGCCGGGAGTCCCAGAGTCCCTGGACCTCCGGGAAGGCGAGGAGGGGCGAAGTGCAAAAGCAGCTTTCAAAGACGACGGGTGTTCTGTCCTCCTGGGAACTCCAGAGCACCCTGCAGACTGTTTGTTTAGTACTCAACGCACACGATGACTCCACTGTGTCGCCTATGGCTTGCAGCTCCCGCGGCCACCTCTGCTTCTACTAAGGCTGCTGAGAACTGCGTGGCTCCCCTCGAAGTGCTGAGGTGGAGGTTGTCTTTTGGAGGCAGCAACGTGGGGGGAGCTTGGTGCTCAGCAGCCTGTCTCCTTGGAGTTTGAGGGGACAAACCTAAAATTCTCCAAAAAGAGGAGGGGGTAGCAAGGCAGGCCAAAGGCTGGTTGCAGTCCATCTGACCGTCGTGGCTTGTAGAGAGAGGCACAGGAAAAGAGTTTTCTCTTGTTATATCTGGCTTTTTTGGGACACTTGCCCACGGAGAAAAACTCTGGCGCGGGAAGGGACAGTCTCACGTCCACCATTCAGGCCTTCCACATTGCCGGTCCGTCCCGAGGTTTGTAGTGACCAAGTCTGGCAAGTCCCTTGTCCAGGAAAAGGTTGAGCTTTTAGATACTCTGCCTGCCCCTTACTCGAAAATCCCCCGGAAAACCTATTTACTAAGGGTGTTTCCGCGGCGTCCAGGTCGGGTGTGCCCGGGAAGGCAAGCGGCCGCTGCTGCCTTCCCGCCGCCAGGGGCGTTGGACTGCGCAGCGGTGGTTCGGCTCTCTGGGCTCAGGGCCCTGCGGACCCAAGTTGGGCCCTGCGGGGCTACTTGGCGGGACTCGATGCCCCGATGGCGATGTTGCGCCGGAGCCGGGCTGAGCTGAGAAAAAGCACCGCAGACCTTTTCTCTAGCTGCTAGTGAGGCAGTGCAAGGAGCCTCCAGGCTCCCCAACAGTGCGGGAGAGGTCACCCACAGGCAACTCAAAAGTCCAGAGCCAGCGTTGCCCCACAGCTCCCTTCCTCTTGGGCCTTCCAGGGGACGATTGGGAAAGTGGCCGAAACACAGACTCACCGGACAAACACAGCAACTAGCTTCCCCTCATGGCAGTGGGTACATAGGGAGTGAGGTGATTGCTGGACCCCTGTCCTAACCTCCGGGCGGGCCCAAGACCACCCCTCATCTTCCAGCAGCCATGGAGAGGAGCTTGGGTCCGCCCAACAATAATGGACAGCAGGGCAGAAGGGGGACCAAAATCCTGGAGCGGTCCTTGGCCCCCGCCCCACGGGCCCTTTCAACCCTTCTTGAAAAATCTCCCATGGAGCCTCCCTTACCACCTTAACCACCTGTTATCCCCAAATCCAGGATTCTCAGAGCCTAGAGCCCTCAGCTGGGGCTCCTGTCCCAGACCCCGGATGTGTGGCACCCCAGGAAAGGGGCTGTTGAGAGTTGCTAGTCCCTACATTTGATGCTGTCCCCTCCCAGGCAGGATCAGGTGGCACCCCAGCTCTGCAATGGGGCAGAAGTCTTATGGATGCCGACCTGGTCTGGGGCCCTCAGGGGCCTTCAGGGGCCCCAAGAGAGGAGCGGCACTCGTTGCCTGGCGGTACCATCGTACCTGAAAGGGAGAGGGCTGAGGAGCGAGCCCTGGAGAGGCAATAACTTCTCAGTGGCAGTGAACTGGAGAGTGCTTACTGAGAGTCCGGTCTCAGAAGAGGCAGGACCAGCGCCATCCAGAGACATAAACGACTTCTTAAAGGAACTGTCTCCCAGAATAGGATCTCTTGCCTAGGAGCTTGCCACTGCCCAACCAAGGCACCCAGCTCTGCTCAGAAGAGGCGGCCTGTGGCTTTCCGACCAGCAACCCCCAGGTGGATTTCAGACTGCCCAGGGGGAATTCACCAGTACTGATTACAGATCTGCCCCGGCTTTGGCAGGAGCTCATTCCTCTCCCCTCTTCCTGCTGCCGTTTGTAATTTTAGTGGCAGCTAAGAGGAGCTGACTTGGGAAGACTGCTGGAGTAGGGGACACCCTGCAAGAGTCCTGCGTTCCTCATTCTCCACCTGCAGGAGGAGAGGCTTTGTTCCTAAGGGCGCCCCTCCAAGCGTCGCGTCCCCACTCCCAGGTTTCTGCTCTTTGTCACGTTGCCCATCCACGAAGGGCTCAGTTTTCATTTGCGCGACGAAGCTCCTGACACCCCCGGGACCCACCCCAGAGGGCCGGGAGGGGATGCAGACTGGCTTGGCTGGGTGCGGGGGCGTGGACCAGGGCCACGAGCGCAGCACGGCTGTGGCCCTTTGCTAGGGCCCGGCACCCCTCGGGGCCACACTGGCGCCTGCAGGACCGCGCCTCTGCATTGCGGCACGCTGGGCTGGCGGGCGCCGAAGCGAAACGCGCGGTTGACGGCGACGCCGGTCTGCCCATCCTCTCGCAGCGTCAGGCAGCCGCCCCAGGCTGGGCCGGAGAAGCCCACCCGACCCCCGCCCCGCACACAGTCGCCAGGCTCCGCCGGCCTGGAGATCTGCGCCCCCGGGACCATATTTCAAATATGATCTTTGGAGCCGCTGCCGCCGCACGCCGCCGCCGCCACGGCCGCCGCCGCGCGCTCACAACGGCCTCGGCGTACTGTGTGGTTTTTATTTTGCTTTCGTTTGCCCATGGCCTCGCCGCGGGTCCCCTCTGTCCCAGAGGTGCGCCCCTCCACGCCAGCCCCTGCGTTTTGCTCTCGGGTGCCCCCGTTGCGCGCCTAAACCCAGTGGGGCCCACACACAGGGTAGATTTCTTTCTTCCTTTTTCCAACCAAGAGCTCACTGCTGCAGCAAGCCCGAGAATGAAATGAGAATCGCTTGGCGGACCCCGAAGTGGTCGTCAGCCGAAGCGCCACCGCCACCCCGCCCCCACTCTCCTCTTCCCTCCCCTCCCCTCCCCCGCCACGGCCCCGCGGCGCGTCGAGAGTTAAGGCGCGCGCCCGAGAGGGTATTTGGAACTGGGGGCGCGAGAAGAGGGGGCGCCGGGCGTGGCGGACATGGAAGCTGGGCTCGTGCGCGTCCCCTCTTCCCCACCCTGGGGCGGAGGGGCGGGTCTGATCGCGAGGGCCCGGTGCGTCTCCGCCTCCCGGGCTGGCGGGGAGCCTAGGCTGGCCGCGGCCCGGAACCGCGAGGACGCTGCTCGGAGGCCGCGTCCTGCGTAGCCCGAGCGGGGGAGGGGACGGAAGCTCAGAGCCGCGACCGCGCGTCGCCGCTCGCCTATCGATCCCCTGGGGCGCGAGCGCGGCGATCCCCGCTGGACACCGCTGTGTGTGTGGGGAGTCTCTGTAAGACCAAGGGCCGAACCAAGAGGGTGCCCAGCTATCCTGTGATCGTGGGATGGTGGCTATTCGGGTCGGGCCAGACCACAGCTCGGTCCCCACTGGGTATGGGCGGGAACGCCTCGAGCACCCACCTACCCCCAGTTCCATATTGTTTGTGTCGGGCCGGGATTTGGACACTTCCGGAGCTGTGTCTCACCGTGGTGCAACTTCGTCTCTCCCTGTCTAGGCCCCTGTCCCTGCCCCACCCCCCAC